TCTGGAGTTGATTTCCTGGTCTGGTCTACCCAGTAGGGCTAACACCAATGCATAGGCCTTGACTGACTGACTGACTGATTGATTGACTGACTGACTATGTGCCGTCAAGTCATTTTTGACTCCTAACGACCACATATATTTTCTCCATGACAATCTGTCCCTAACCTGCTCTTTCAGGTCTCCCAACGGTGCACTCATTGCCACTGTAACTGAGTCTATCCAACTTGCTGCTGTTCGTCCTCATCTTCTCTTGCTTTTTACCTTTCCCAGCATCAGAGCCTTCTCCAGAGAGCTGGGTCTTTACATCATGTATCCAAAGTAGGATAATTTAAGCCTGGTCATTTGTGCCTCAAGTGAGAACTTGGTTTGATTTGTTTAATAATCCATTTGTTTCTTTCCTTGGCTATGCGGGTTATTCTCAGGAGTCTTCTCCGACACCAAAGTTCAAAAGCATCAATACTCTTCCTATCCTGCTTCTTCAAAGTCCAACTTTTGCTTCCATAGAGTGTCACAGGGAATACCATGACTTGCACGATTCTGATCTTTGTAGGTATAGACACATCATGGCATTTGAATGCTTTGGGGAACAGTAAAAGATAACGCTTCCTTCAAGTCAAGTTCAGCATGGACATGTTTTCTTGGCAACAGTGCCAAAGGGTTTGCCATGACCTTCTACGCTGCCTTTGGATCAGCCAGTCTATTTACAGCTCAGATTTTTCATTCAAATACTAATCCCATTATACCCTGCTTAGCTTTTCAACATAGAGTTGACCGGGCTCCATCCAAAGCCTAGTTCAATATGGAAATGTTCAGCTGGATTACTATGTTTCATTCAAGGCAGCAAGGCAGAAGGTCAGCCTGGCAAGGTAGTCCAGCCAAGAAGCACACCCAGAAGAATTAGCTCTACTTTATTGTAAGGTTACATTAAGTGGATCTTGCACGTCTGAAAGTACATCTCTCCCCCATTGCCATTATAGCTCAAGAAATTAGGAAGGGCCCATTCTGAGACATTTGCCATGCCCACATTCCTGCTGTGGGCTAAGCTGCCTCTTATCCAACTGTTGCCCTGGGTGTGGCTCTTCCCCCATCTCCCAAGGTCATTCCCGCATACTATTACACAGTGTGTGGGTATGATATTTTAATACTGCTCTTCCTTGTGAACAAATCCAGAGCGATGTAGTCAAAGAATAAAATTAGTACAGACAATTAGGTAAGTCAGGATCCACATTATCACAAGGATGCATCAGGCCCTGCCTTGTCAGAACTGAATTCGCCTATTAGGTAAAAACCTCTTGGGAAAGCTTCTTAAGAGCCCCCACCCACCCATCTGAAGGACAATTATCAGCCAATCTTCAACCACCTGTTTTTAGATATTTTTGAAGAAGGTAATGGGGTCCAACTGCAAAAGATCTTAGAGGAAAAGGATTTTCTGGATCTGTTGCAGGTAGGATTCAGGCCTGGGCATAGGACAGAAACAGCATTAATTGCACTGTTGAGTGCACTTCTGATACTACTGGAGCTCTAACCTTTGATACCATTGACCATGGTATCCTTCTGGGCCATCTGCAAGGCTTGGGGCTTGGAGGTACTGTCTTGCTGTGGTTCTCCTCTTTCCTAAGTAGGCAGTTCCAATTGGGATGTGTGGGGAAAAGAGCAGCTACATCTATGGTTACCTGATATGGGGTTCCATAGGTCCCACTCCTCTTTTCCTTGCTGTTATCTATATGAAACCATCTATGTCACCCCTCAGTTTTGGGTGAGGTATCATCCTTACGCTAGTGAATCCCAGATACACATCATCACCTCAAGCCAGGATGCTGAGGAAGTCCTGCCCCAATGCTTGGAGGCTGATATCAGCCCTTCAAGATAGATCAGACTAGGAAACCAAAATAATGAATGCTAATACTATTTTTATTATAAGGTTACAGTAATAGAGTCTTACAAGTCTGAATGCGCTTCCCCCCTCCCTCCCTTTATCGTCATGAGAACTAAGGAAGGTCTTGTACGAGATGCTTTCTCAGATTACAGTTCTGCTCTATGCTCAGATTTCTTTTTTCTGACCGTTGTCTTGGTAGCAGCTCTTCCTCCTGTTCCTCAAGGTTATTCCTTCTTCCCATTACAGCTACTTAGGACCTGGATGGATCAAAGCAGGCTTATTTTAAATCTCTGCAAGATTGCAGAGAGCCATGGAGATCACCTTGGAGAAAGCAGCTGGAAACCATTAGAGAAACAGCAAGGGGAGAAGAAGCATGTGTTAAGCCTAGGTGGGTGGGCGACTATGAGAAAGAGACTGACTCTCCTGACTCCCCTGGGTATAAGAGGGAGGGAAGGGAAAACAGAGGCAGACTTGCAAGATTCTGTTCCTAGAGCCTATCTCACAGGCTATAGTTCTAGTCTTCTGGTGCAATTAGTTTCCTGATCTGGTCTTCCTTAGAGGGCTAACATCAATCCTGCAGGTCATTTCTGCTTTACTGAGCCTATCTCAATAAAGTATAGTTCTAGTCTTCCTGTGGCATTGGTATCCTGATTTGGTCTCATAGGGCTGGCAAAAATGTAATTGTTTGTGATTCTGTGATGGAATGGAATTATGAAGGCCAAGCTCAGGGAGATAAACATTTTCTTAGCTCACCAGAACCGTGTGGGAGGAACAAGAGGATGGGACTGGCACCTCCCTGAGAATTCACACTGTTGTGGCTGGAGGACTTTGGGAACTGGAGTTTTAGTCTTGGAAGATTCTTGCTAGAGGCTGTAGCTAATAAAAATAGCACGGGTGGATTGGGAATGTCTCTTGGGGG